TTATATCATGTTTTATAATTCATGACTTGTATGCACATGACTTGTACGAACTGAGCATGATCACTTTAGATTAATTGCAGCAGCAGATGATATTGAAAAGAAGTTAAAACAACTACCGATCGCAATAACAGCAATGAAGAAAGCAATGTAAATTTATGCGTGAGTGACTGTTTTATCCTAAATTATTTAAAAAGGTGCTCAAGATTAACGAAGCTTTCGATTCGGTTTCGCAAGAAGATAGCCAGAACGATCGAATATCGTATTCATGAAATTAATAGATGAAACGCGGACCGCGAGAAAAATCCCTTCACGAGATAAGGAATCGCCTTCACATCCCGGCGAAGATCGCGGCTTCGCTTCGCGCACGACCCGTTTCTCCTCTCCTCATGCGGAACGACACGTTTATTTGCAAATCGATCGCACGCCTAAGTTTCTACCGTCATTAATTAAACATCTTTCGAGTGAAATTTGTCGCAAACGTCAATTTTTATCTCGCCGTTTTCCGCATGCGGGTCACGCGTAACGTTCGCGCGTTTTAAATATGAGACACCTCTCGCAAATATGAGCTCCGTCGATTGTAACTTGTACCGTATTTTATTTAAAAGGGGGTAACAGAAGTTTGACATTTTTAAAATATTGACATTAATATATTAATATATTTCAATCGCGTGACTTTACGTAACCAGGAACGTAAAGTACACCGCAGTTTCAATCGGACCATTTCTCTTTAAGAAGTCGATGACCGCGTTATTATATTATCTAATCAAACTCATTCTTGCTTCTTAATAAGAAGTTAACGATAATATAATATAATTAACACGTGAATGTAAAGTAACGATAAATTATAATAACGATTAAAAGTTGGTGCATTTCTCGCTTTCCTTGTATTTGAATCGCTTCGACGAATTGCGTGGGTTGAGAAACGAGGTAATTCTGTCCGACATCCGCCTGCAACTTTTCGGACGGATTTGACGTAATGACATATTTACGTTGGTATGCGTTTTACATGAACCGGCACCGCACTGTCCGTCCACGCGGATTTAAAATATCTCTAAGAACGGCGAAGATAACTCTTAGCGTAAAATCTGATTTTTATTGCATATTTTTATGCGACTCATCTTATTTTGAAAATTCCCGTACAATCACCCCTTTAAAACTACAAACGAAACTAGCGGCGATACAAACACGTACAAACGATTCCGAAACAGCACCCGTTTCCACGAGACTCAAAACGGAGAGGCTCCGTCATTTCCTTTTCGCGTTACGCCCAACGAAATTGGTAACCTGCCGTTTTGCGTATTATGCCTCATCGACAAACAAATCGCACCTGTTCGCACATCGGAATCGCGCTCGTTAATCTTCGCGAAGTGGATTACGACACGTCTCGAGCTCGATGACGCCGAAATAGACTCATTTGCGATTCGTTTTACTCGTGGTCGAGGTAGCTGATTGTAAATCGTTATCACCCGCGGAACTCGGCGTTTCGCCTCCGAAATCGTTATCTAGACGACGCGTGTTATTACGTGAGAGTATGCGAGAAAAAAAGCAAACATTGCGATGAGAATCCGCATATTGCTTACGACGAGAGCTAATGCTTTATTTTTCTTCGAAATCGCTCTCTCTGCGCAGCAAATAATGATTTCACCTATTAAAATTAGAGTAGACGCCAGTATACAATTTGTTTCACTTTCAAAGAATATCCCGCCACCAAGATTCACGGGACTCGTTTTTTTTAATCATAAAAAATCTAATTAACAGTTTTCTAAAGCGACATTGGTTGTGCTCATGCACGGGCCTCAAAATATAAATTAAAAAAGACTCAAAATACTAGGTCATTGCATGTGAAATAATGTGTCAGCAACTCTCTTTACGGTCCAGACTATTTCTAGCAAACGAGCGAAGATCACGTACTCATCCTCAATTTTATCTAATCGTCGGATCTGACATAAACACGTACCTACTATATGTTATTCCTAATACGCAGTTCGTTTCATTTTCAAAGAATATTCTAGCATTCGCAACAACACATTCGCGGAACATTCGTTCTTTTTTATCACAAAAAATCTAATTATTAAAAGTTTTCTTAAGCGACATTGCGTGGTCGCTCACGGATCTCGAAATGTGGAATTAAAAGATATTAAATTAAAGACATTACTAAGTCACCGCGTATGAAACGTCGATGTTACGTTAACTCTTTACGGTCCAGACTATTTCTTGCAATGAATGAAGATAAAGTATTTCATCCTCAATTTCATTTAATCGTCGGATCTAAAATAAAGAATTTGTATTACTTGGAGGAATATTTACAGAGATTCTCTCAAACTATAGCTTGTCGATTATAATCTTGTATGTTCGAAGAAAATTATTCAACCGTGTCGAGGCTAATTCGACGTAGGACCGCAAAAAGTTAAAGATTCTCAGACAGTTTCGTAGAAAAGAACTAAAGATCACAAATACCAGTTTTGCGTCCCGAGCGAACGATTTTGTGCATTAAATGTTCCTTTTTCTCGCGACAACACGGTTCTTTCAAAGGGCGAAGTTTTAGTTTCGGTTTAGTTTCCCTGACATTTAAGATCGTAGAATAATCTGTTGCTATATTTTTATGTGAGATTTACTGCGACTCAAAAATTCGCCGATACTTGAGAAAAGCTACAGCGCTAAAGTCTCGGGAGAGCGTCGTTATCGCTTTGACGCGGTAATGATCGATTATCGGAAAATGTTTATTTTAGGAGAGCACCTGACAGAAGCGAAACTATCGAAATTCACATCTCGCACATACGCAGAGATTGGAACATAATAGTAAACGTAATAGTTAAGTAAAGTAAAGTAAAGTCGTGTGAAAAAGAGAAACTCACTGTTGAAGACGAGCAGCTTCCGCGTGGAGCCGAGCCGCTTGATGGGTGACTTGACGCCGTCGATCTCCTCCTCGTCCATGATCCCGCGCCGGCGACGGCAAAGTGCGGACCTTGATTTCCTCGGGCTCTCTCTTTCCCACGGGCAGATGCGCTCGCTCGCTCGCACGCACGCACGCACTCACACGCACTCGCACTCGGCGTTACACGAGATCCGAGATCCGACGTGACGTGAAGCGACGCGAGATACACACAAGGCGCGCACGCTGCCGGTTGCGTGTTCTATCGCCGCGCGCGAACGCGAACGACAAACGGGAGCCAACCGAAGGTGGACGCGGTACGCGCGCGCGCGCGCGCGTAAGCTCTCGCCGCGGTTCAGAGCATTCTCTCGAGAGCACGAGGAGGCCCGCGCGCGGGCCGTGCCTCCACCGTGCCTATGCGCCTTGAAACCGGTTTACGACGGTCGGCCGGGCGGCCGATCGGTCGTTAAGTAGCAGAGGAGGGTGAAGCAAAGCGCACCGCCGCCGATGCGGCGTTTTTGTACACGCGGATCGGATCCGAGGATGCACTCGCGTTTCCTCGCCGCGGCTAAACTCGCTCGCGCAGCGCTGTGCGAGCGATCGGCGAGAGCGGCGAAGCGGAGCGGAGCCAATCGGTGGCGAGTCCTTCGAGTCTGCAGCCAGCCAGCCGAGCATCCGATCGAGACGTTACGCTCAATCCAACTATCCAACTGACCGAGGACCGAGGACCGAGGTCGATCGCGACAAGTACGCGGTACGCGAGCAGTCGAGCACGCTTGTTGCTTGGACGGCTACTCGCCGCGTAGTGCCTCTGCCTCTGCCAGTCCGCCGGCTCACTCGGCTGTCTTCCAGGCGGTCGCGGCGTGGATATTCTTGGACGACGAACGTATATTAAATTCAACTTCGGGAGCCCTCCACCGCCGCCGCCACCGCGCCGGTGCCGCCTGAACGCATCGTCGCGCTTCGAACGAGACCGGAGACGGAGACAGGAGACGGGAGACACGAGAGTCGAGACACGAGAACACGAGTCGGAGTTCGGAGTCGCGTCTCGCGTCTAGTTGCCCGGCAACCCACTGAATAATTACCGCGCTCGAGCGCGACCGCTGGAACCGCTGGCGTCATCCATCGGCGAAGGTCGTAGGCCGTAGGCCGAAGGCCCTGCCGACTTACGATTGCACGAAATTCACTTGACGGAACTGTCTCGACTAGCGACCACTAGCGACGCTACGAATGTTACGATCGCGCGGAGTTTATTTGACGAAACTGTCGCACATTTGTACCGTCCAGATTGTTTCCCGTCAAAATCTCCCTCGTAGCATGCGCGACGTAATTATGAAAAGTTATCGATCCGTTTTTCCAAGGAAAAGCACGCGAGCGTTGATTCTTTCAGCGGGAAGGATCATTTTCGTGTGTATTCGTACTCGCTGAAATTACAACGGTTTCCAGTCACAGTCCAGGGTCGATTACGACCGACGAAACGGCACTGATCGCGAGAATTCGTGACAACCGATACATTCCGGCGGCTGTTCGTCACTTTAATCGGCACTCCCGGCAGGAATTCGCGCTCGTCACGCATTTTTAACGAGTAAAAATCGCGATCGATCGCGGAGCGTCCCGCACTCCGTACTCGTCCGAACCGACGATGCGCCGAGACTGTCATGGCGGCCGGCCGCGCGCCGCGCGCACGCGCCGTGTTACGATATTGAGATAATTTAAAATTTAACCGATTAGAAATAACAATGAGAATTATACGTTTTCTACATGCCTTTCAACGAACTACGACGGTCTCAATGATGTTCCGTTTGATTTTCTTCGTAAAGATTCAGATGGACATGCAAAAATTTGTACTTAAAAGATGCGGGAAAAGCGAAATATCCTCGTTCAAATTGCAAACTAGCGCGTTCACCCGAAGATAATCATAACGTGAATGCGAGTAGAATAATCAATAATTTGTGAAATGATGCGATATTATGTTAAAACAGCACAAATCATTACTATAATTATCGTTATTATTATTATATTCTTTCCAAATTTTTTTTCTTGTAAAATAGAATATTATGTGTATGTACTTATCTCTACTTATAAATTTATAATTATCTTATAAATTTACAAATAAATATTATCTGTCTCATATCTTCTCTTTCACTTGTATAAATCCTTGTATCAATCCTTTTTCCTATCCCCAACCGACAGTATTTATTTCAATTTATATAACAATTCGATTATAAAAGAAGTTCAACTTATTTCTCATTGTCAGTGAGAAACAATACAGCTCTGCGCGATCATATGGCTGCTGGCCTTGTTGGCAAATCCAACGAACCACGCACATACCAGTTTCTATGACTACGATGAGCAAAACATTGCTATTTCCTCCACCGTGATTAATACCTTACCTTTGTCGCGCTGTCATCAAGTAGATGCGTACGTGATACGCTATCACTGTATTTCCTCGATTAAGCAACGTCTCCCGACTAATTCACGACTAACATCTGACATTCTGATTCAAGAGTTCATTTTCAAGAAATGGACTCCGAGAGGAACGATTCTGGTAAGATCGGCGAACGACCGGTCACCCGGTGGCGACGGGACCAGGAAGACGTGCCCAGTACCTCGAGCAAGATCGACAGACCGCCGACAGGTATCGTGAGGTCTCAGAGCAAGTTCGAGCGACCAAGGTCTCGACGTGGACATAAGGACGAGTCGTCGGAGTATGTTAATTCGGCTAGCTATCGCTCGGCGACACCCGGACGTCTCGCTCTTGCGAGACCGCCGTCGGCATCCCTTCTGTCTAATCGTGCCCCGACCGCGGGTCCAGGCTTCAGGATAGGCTCCGGATTAATTCGTTCCAACACGGGACTGGCAACTGCCAAGCAGTTTAATGTCAGCGTGCTGGATAGGCCAATTACGCAGCATGGGATAGCGGGCGTGCGACCGGGGACCACCAGAGGTCTGCCGATGACGAGGTAATGGTGTTACTATTTCTTACTAAACTATACTAAATCTTACTATTAACATTTTCGTATTTATTTGTCAATTTTTTCCAATTTCCAGACAGATTCAGGACAAGAGATACTACGAGGGTCTGCTGCAGCTGAAGATAAGAGAACTGACGCAAGAGATCGGAACGATAATGAAGGACATTGAAGTTCAGAACAAGGAGAAGGCCACCTTCCTGCACTACGACAAGAGAGCCAAGAGCCTGGCCGCGGAGTTGACGACTCTACAGGCCGAGTTAGCGGACTACAATCTTGTCGTGGACAAAATGACCCTGGACGTCGACAAGGAAGTGATCGAACAGGAAGCCAAGGAGTTGGCGCTGATGAATGAACGTAGGACGGCGGAAGTCGAGCGGATGTTTGAGCAACGGAAGCAAATGGAACAAAGATTGCATAAGATGGAGAAGGATATTGAGAATGAGAGGAAAAGGACCGAACACATCATTGAGAGTATGGATCCGCACACAAAAGAGAAATACGATCATCTGTTCCAACAGAAGACGGAATTGCAGGAGCAGGCACAGCAGATGCAGCACGATTTGGACCAACTGTCGAAAGAGCAAGCGCATTTGGAAGAGCAGATCGCTCTCTCTCAATTGAAGCAGGAGGCGGTGAAGCTGCAAGTGAGAACCATCGAGGCGGAGGAAAAGCGAGACAAGCTGCGGGAGGAAGAACGTAGAAGATTGTCGCCGGAAGACGAGAAGGAACAACTTTTGCAGAAGATCAAGCGCGACAACACCGACATCGCCGCAACGGAAGCGCAGATAGCCGAGAAAGAGAGGAAGGTGACGGAGCTCGAGCAACAACTGGAACAGCTGGAGACTGACATGGAAGAAAATCAGTCGGAGAAGCAAGTTAAGTATCAGGAACTGCGTAAGCGTGAGGAAATGATGGAGGAATTCATGTCCACGTATGAACAAAACAAACAGGAGGAAATGGAAAAGCTGGAGAAACTCGAGCGGGAGATCGTTGACAAGCTGGAGGCTATGTCGAACGCAGTGGAGAACAACGAGTACTTCACGGAAGCCGAAGAAACGGCGATTTTGCGTGACAAATTCCCGTACAACGATTATGAGACCGCGCATCGCGACGACGACTTCGAAGAACTGAAAAAAGATTACGCAACTATGCAACAAACATTCAACAGACTGAGGATCCTGGAGGAGAAGCTGCAGCTGGAATCCAAGCAGATGAAGGAGAAGCTGAAGAAGCAACAGAGCGAATTGATCGTCCTGGAGGACCTGGATGGCTTGAAAACACGGAATGAACTCGAGCGGGACGAGTTGATGGCTGAACGAAAAGAATTAGTATCCGAAGAAACGATCTGCGAGGACGAACTCAAGTCACTGCGAGCGGAATATAACGAGCTCAAAGAGCAAGTGGAGAAATATCCAATTTATCCGGAGATCAGTAGCCTAGAAGATAAATTAGAAAAATTGAAAGAAGATAATAAAAAGATTGAGGAATTCATAACTAAAGAAAAAGAGCGTGTTAATTGTGAGCCGCTCAAAGAGAAAGCTTTCAAACTAATTAACGATTACGGTGCGCTACTCCAAGAAAATCTGAAATCTCTTTATTAGATAACGCTTTGCCCATTTTCTACATAACAGTAATTACTTCCTAACAGTATTTACTCAAAAATAATAATACATGAAGAATAAGATGCTAGAACTCAGAGTCGAGAGAGAGAGAGAGAAAATCTTATTTTATAAATTATTTTTATTGTACAGATTGTTCTTACCAAATTTCTTTTAAGAATTCCTATCATTTGGCTACTTTATCTATCTTTAAAATATCATTATTCCGCGCGTATTGTTGCTGTTCTTAATCCATTTAATTAACGTCGTTTTGCTTGTCTGTCTAATTCTGGAGGAAGCGAAACTTTATTTGACAATAAAAATTGAATAAAGTTCTTCTTGAACCGTTCGCTAGGCTCGATATTCTTCGTGCGCATAATTTTCCATAATTCTAAAGCGCGGTCGCAATTTCCCGTTTTACCTGCAAATATAAAAAAAATAACATTAGCATTAACTTTAAGATTGTTTATATATACTTTAGAATGCAAGAAGAACATAGCTTACTATAAACCGAAAGGAACCTATTACATATCACATCTTCATCCAAATGATTCGCATTAGCTATTTTAAAGAGGTTCAGCAAACCATCTGTATCACTGTCAGTTTTTGTGTTAATGATATAGTATACAAGACAGTTCATGGAGAGTTCGTGATTCTGCAACAGAAAGATTTGATGAAAAGAATGTAAATAAAAAAATGTAACCAACGAAGTTAATCGTGTGTTTGGTAATGTCAGAAAATCATTTAAAATTATTTTGGGAATACATTATTAATATTCTTCTCACTATATATATATACTAGGGTAATACAAGTTAGAAAAATTTATATATACATAAATATCTTTTTCAGACCGTTCTCTTCATAAAATTTTTATCGACGTTTAAAAGATTCTAGTTTTGTTAGTAAATTACAAACTGAGAAAATATAAATTAAATGTTGCAATCGGAAACGTTTCGGTTACCTCTAACAAAGCTTGCAGTTTCTCTGTCTTGTTCAACGTCGCTAATGCTATCGCCAGTAACGTATTCGCCACTTTGACAGAATAGGTATTAGCTGTTATATTATACACTTGTTCTATGTAGTTATTCGCGTTTTGCAATCTTGAACTATCCTTCTGCTCCAGCAACGCTGTCAATAATTGTAATGCCAACGGCGCCTTGCCATACTTTTGCGCGCATTCTGCGAATACATCTACAGTGTCCAGGATGTTGTTGCGTTCTAACGGTACCGCCACCAACGGCCTCAGCAGTTCCGTGGTTACCTGACAGTAATTTTTCCTTACAAGCAAGTCTAACATGTCCTTCGTGTGAGCGTGATACTGACTCTGTGCTAGCGTTTGCAGAAGTGTCCAACACGGTGCCTGCGTGTCTACGTTGGTATCATCAATGGCGTTGAATGTATCAATAACGTCGAAAGCCTTTGTAGGTTTATTCGCCTTCACCAACGCGGTGGCATACGTCACAACTTTAAATTTATTTATCTGGAATTCAGCGGGCAAGACTTGTAAATCGGGCAGCAGTGCCTCGGCCTCGTCTAACTTGTTGTGCTTGAGATACAGTTCGAACAAAATCGCCCGCATACCGAACGTCCATTCGTACTGGCACGCGTCATATTCTCGTTTTATCTCTTCAGCTCTCTTGAGATTATTCTCGTTACAGTACGCAACCAGTAATTTATGCAGAACGTTTTTAGTAGAGACTTTCTCGCTCTTCAGCTCCGTTAGGTAGTATGTTAATTCCTTGGTAGTCATATATTTCGGGTGTTGCCGGTTGAGAGCCGAAATTTTTATATTCGGATCAACCAAATTGTCTATTAAATTCGCCACCTTTGTCGTGACATTAAAATTTTCGTTCTGTTTCAGTCTGTCCTTGAGAACGGTCGCGTCTTCTTGCGATATCTTTATTTCACATTTTTGTAATTCTTCCAGGAGAAGCTGTAGATCCTCTATATAAACCGGATATTCGGGTTTTAACAACGATTTCAAGAACAAACCAGCGAAATCTTGACCTTGTGGAGATGCCGTCAATAACATTACACAATTTTTGACGTCTTTAGTGGCGAGATAGGCGCGTACGAGTGGTCTCATCAATTCTTTATAATACACCTTGTAGCGCGTATAATGCTTGCACAGTGACGCTAAATCCTGTAGCCGGTTATTATGCAGCAGAAAAGCTAATAGAGGCGTAAACGAGACAGCACCCGGTACGTTATTCAGCAATAATTTCTTTAAAGTAGTAATCGGATCTGCGGTATTTACGTATGGAAATACGTAATCAAGTAAGGTATCGGAATCTATTTCTACACCCTCATTCACCATAGACTTTACAAGCGAAAATATTTCAGCCTCCCCCTTGTCGTGATACCCTCTCAATAGTAAAGGCCAATAATAATGCGGTCGTATCTCGATATTATTACTTCTCATCGCCTGAAATATCGCGAGGCACAGTTTTTCTCTACCCAGCTTCAAACCGATGTCAGCTAAGTCGGTCAACGTGTGTTGGCTGTAACCGGAATCAGAAAAGTCGTTGGCATACTTAATGATATCGTCAATCGGCATGTTTATCATTACCAATTCATTCATAAAGCTATTTACAAAACTCTGTACGATGTCCTTCGTCACGTTGTTCATCGCGAGACAATTTATAATGGTATGAGCGTCTGTGACTTGATTGGCGCGTACGAGTTCCGCGATCATCCTAGAGATCTCGAACTCGATCTCTGGTACCGAGGTCATTAGAAAATTTAAAACAACTGGGATGTGCCTGCTGTTGTTCGACATACTCAGAGCCTTTATTATCCTCAAAAGATCTGTGTTGCTCTGTGGCTCTTCGTTTAATATCTTGACTAGATTCGGAATATCGCCAAGTCTCGCATATCCGCACGCCAGCTCGGTATATGCCTTGGCTGTCGACAGTTCGGCCTCTCGCATTAGTGTTATCGTTCGCTCAACCTCGGCGATATTGCCATTTGTTACGTAATTCTGTACTAACGCATTGACCGCTTCTTCATAGACAGCTATATTTTTGTCCTTTATCATGGACAAGATTTCCCATAAGTATTCACTATTACCTGTCTTTGTAGCTGTGTTCAACAGCAAGCGATAGGTGTTCTCATCCGGTTCCACAGTCATGTTCGTCAGGAACTTCTTGGGACTCACAAACTTGGAGTTCTCCTCGTTAATGCCCAGCAATGTATTGTAATACTCCAACGTCAATGCTTTATCATTCTTCTTCGCCAAACGCCATACCTAAGCAACAAAACAATTTATTTGAGCTATTAGTCTCTTCCTTCAGTTAAAATACTGTTCTTGCATGCCTTGTATGTCTTTTTTTGTCTACAGAATATTGGCTGCATTCCGATATTCACTGTCAGCAACTGTCAGTACTGAAAATCTATAGTATACGTGACGTAAAATATAGATTTGCAGTACTAACAGTCAATTATCGGAATGCAGCCATTGTATACCCACAGTTGTACTTGAAGATGAAATAAATTATGCTCTACCTGGCCCGCAAGATGATCTCTCTCGGTTGCCTCTAGATCGGGTAGTAGATTGCCGCAACATTTGAGCAACAGAACGCCAGTATCGTGAGGGAGGTGATAATCGTTCTTGTTGCACAAGTCGATAACCTCCCTCAGACCATCCGCCGAGACCCGGCCCTTCTTAATATCGTCGCAAAACGACATCAGTTTGTGATCGACGACGTCGGACTGCGACGACTGCGGGGCCGTCGTGCCATACGTCCTGTTGCACGTCGCGACGCAAATCTCGGGTCGCAGACCCGTGTGTCGAGGAAGCACGTAACCGACGACATAACCTCCGTGGCGCGGCGGATGACTCCTTACCGTCTCGTATCGCGGGGAACGTAGCTGCGAACGGACGATGAGCGTCAGGTATCTTCTCAGTTGCAGCATCTTCTCGACCTCTAGCATCTTCGTCAGGTTAGCCGGGTCGGCCGGGTCAGCGTCAACGAAGGAGCTTTTTTTTTGAGGTTATAAACTCCGGTTGGAGTTATTGACGCCTTCAGCCCCACCTTTGGGCTATATAGCGTATCAAACACGTATTTATCTTATGATCGACGCAACTGAATCTCGAGTCTCGGGAGGAATGCTTTCTCGCTCGGTTTCTCGGGATCGAGTTAATATCGGGCCTATATGTGTTGTACGTATAGATATACCAGAGAAGAAGCCTGAAGAGAGGCCATCCCGGTCTTTTTCGTGCGACGGGACCGTCGAAAGCCCCTGTGGCCTGTAGTGTCGAATCGTATATTTCGATCAATTTCAATATACGAGATATTTTCAATACGAAGTTTTTTTTAGTTGTAGCGCTTTTCGGTTACACAATACGTATAAGAAAATAATAAATGTTGTTTTTATGAATTTTTTAAAGCATCTTTTGAGGTATATTTTTGAGGTATTGAAATACTTTATAAGCCATTCTACAATTCCAGCAATTTTTCGACATTTCCGGAATATATTGATGGACAGGAATTTAACGCAAATTTTAATTATTTGTTCTTTTTCGTGCGAGATATCGCGACGTAACGATAAAGAAGGAAATGTCCTGAAATGGTAACATCGTTTCTAAAACGTTGCGTGGTAAATTGATTGATGGCGCCACATTCCGGTTGCAGTCTTGAAACTCGAAACCTCAAGCATGCATTCGGTGTCGAGACTGCAACCGGAATGTAGTGTCATCGATCAATTATACTTACAATTAGCCGCTTCTCGTGTTTTTACGAATTTATTACCGGTTTCTCGTTTTTGGACCTCGCCGATAATATAATTTTTGATACCTTTTTTTTTATATAACTTGCCGTACACTATAAAAATTTGTGTATATATTTCTATCTTTCTTCGATAAATATATATATTTCGAGTTATTAACTATTTTAAGATATTTCATATTGTGCGAAACTTGATTCGAAGGTTTCTAATAGATATTTCTATGGCTAACAATAGGTGTCTTTTACAATTTAATTTCTATATAATTTTACGCGGTATATCTCGAAAGGATTGATTCGTTACAGACAAATATATAGATTTAGAAATAGAGATAAATAGGACTCTTTATTCTACAAGAATTCTTCGAAAAATTTGGAAAAAACCTTAATACTACAACGATTCGTGCTGTCCGTGCTGTCACATATTATACATATAATATCGCGCCGTTTCGCAAATTATTAATTATTCTACTTGCATTCGCGTTACGATTACCTTCGGGTAATACGCGCCAATTCGCAGTTTGAACAAAAACATACACATTTTTCTCGCGTCCATTCGAATCTTTACGAAGAAAGTCAAACGAAATGTTATTGATCATCATAGCTCGCTAAAAGACGCTTAGAAAACGTTCAATTCTCATCGCGATCTCTAATCGTTTGGATTTCAAATTATCTCAATATTGCAACGGCGCGCCTGCGCGGCGCGCGCGGCCGGCCGCCATGACAGTCTCGGCGCGTCGGTTCGGACGAGTACTGAGTGCGGGCCGCTCCGCGATCGATCGTGATTTTCATCCGCCAAAAGTGTGTGACAAGCGCGAATTATTGCCGGGAGTGTTGATCAAAGTGACGAGCGACCGCCAGAACGTATCGGTTAGCGCGAATTCTCGCGATCAGTGCCATGCCGTTTCGTCGACCCGACCGTAATCGACGCCTGGGACCGTGGTGCGGAGCCGTGTCAGCCGCTGCGATCAAGTAAGTACAGATTCCGATACCACCTGCGCGCGAGAATGATCCTTAAGGTTCATTACGCGTAATTACGTTCCTCCGAGCCCTCCGAGGGAATCGGAGAGCGATCTGGCGTGCTTTCTGTCGGAAATGTAGCGCGTCGGAGATTTAGATCGTCGTAATTACGTCGAACGCGTCTGCTGCGAGTGGAATTTGTGCGGAAAATTCGAATATCGTGTCGACGGTACGGTCGTGATTATTCGTGTTACAAATCTGTCGATCCCGCGAAAGTGCGAGTTAAACACGCAAGTAATAACGAGCAATATAATTGCGGTTATCGCGTTCGTTTTATCGATTAGATGCGCCAGATCTCGATGGGTCACGTAGGGAAACGAAAGTAGTAAAATTCAAACGGTAAGCGAATCGGCCAATCACAGTCAAGAATCGTCGAAAAAAATGTAAGACCATCTTTAATTCCCAGCTGCGATTGGTCGGCTCGCTTCCCAGGTAGCAGAGTGACGTCAAATGACGTATTGATAACGTCTTAATGACGTCTCTAACGCCAATAAAACGTCATTAAGACGTTTTTGTTTTTAGACGTCATCTTGCTACCTGGGTTATCGTTCTTCCGTTAAGCCCCTTGCACAATACCAGGCAACAGGCAATAGGAACAGGGAATAAAAATCAGAAATCAATGTATAAATGCAGAATAAACAGTGACACAGGCAATAGACACAGGAGTTTCCGTCACGTTGGAAATTATGTGTCTATTGCCTGTTGCCAACAAATCATAACATTCGAATATTTTAGGTTGTAATTAACGATTTTTTATTATTTCCTGTTCCTATTGCCTGTTGCCTGGCATTGTGCAAGGGGCTTTATGGTTCAAGAGAACGTTTCGAAGATGGAGTGCGCTCCACTTTGTGTGTCTCTTGTGAAGAAAAAGTTGGCGGGTGCGCCGTGCTAGACACGTAACGAGAAGAATCGTATTAATTATTACATCGCGTACTTATATTATGTGCGTAAAACCGATAACGTTTCGCGCGGATATTAACACGGATGCGTCGAGCGGTCGAGCCGGCGCGCGGCGCGGCGTCGTAAACAAGGGGGTGGGGGCTGAGGCCGGGCTCGCTCCTGTATTCTAGGAATTTCCCCCGCCGCGCCGCGCCGTTCGACTCCGACATTAAAAACATACATAAAAACAACGCGGCCGAGTTCACGCTCCGTGCTCCTCGCTCCGCGTCGAGGCCACGCATTTTTTCGAAGTAGCTTTATTTTCAGTCAGATCGGACTGCTCTCCCCGAGCTCTCTTCATTCGCGGTATTGCCCGTGACGAATCGATCATTCGATTTGTATCCCACATTGAAATCCGTTTCTTAACCGGTGATGGCAATTATGTGATGACCTAATGACAATTATACATATACGTCGCGTAATCGCGTTTGATAGAAACTGTCGGACGCTCGATCGATGCGCGGCTTGACAATCGTTATATTCGTGACGTAAACTCGGAATCTTGAAATAAACGCGTGGCTGAAATATTTCTGCTCGTCCGCGGTGCATTATGCGCGATAATTCATCATGTCGAGACACAAGCAGCGTAATTAAAAATGTTTATTTCTACCAATGAAGATTAACTTCGATCTCGGTTTAACCTACTTTTTCTAGTCCTATAAGAATTAAGAGATTAAAGTTAGTCTACATTGGTATAGAAATGGACATAAATCACGTTATTTAATTAGCGGATCGAGTGTCGAAGAAAGCAGTCGAAGACGCGTCGATCCGCATCGGTGTATAATTACGATCCATTGATCATATTCCAATTATAAAATCGCTGTCTCTCGAGTTATTGTGCGTTATGATTTTAAATTATTGAGAAGATAAAAAAAATATCGCAAGCATGTGATACCGAAATAATGTCGGGAGTATCAGTCAAGTGTCGGGCGATCGTATTAGGCGCATAGATTATCCAGTACGTTATCACGTCGTTATGAACGTGCGACAGTTCTACCAAATAGTCTTCGTGCGTAAGTATTACTTGTGCAATGATTTTTGTATAAATTATTAAAGTACGCGATAATAATTGATGGGATGTTTTTGTCTGGTAACGAGCACCTTTCTTGTGTTTATGAACAAATAAAAAAAGTAAATTATTACATTTATGAATTATGTGAGGTTTTTCACTCACATCTTATTACGCAAAGACATTGATTCTTGTTGGAAAAATAAAGATGAAAAACGGCGACATTTGGAACTTATAGAATGGCCTGAAATTAAATTGCGATTTATTCGGTTGTTACGGATTTTATTAGGATGGTTTTTTTTTATACAGCGGCATATACGGGAGAATAGAATGGTTACAATTTTACTTCTGTTCGGAATAAAAATATAGCAAAGTGCCGATATCAAACATAGTATAAGCAGAAATTCTTAATCAATTTGCTGTTATTTTGTATTTTTTATATTATTTTATTTAATACTCCATTTATATTTTTATTTCTCGAACTGTTTTGCGCGGATAGTTTTGATAATGGATAGCTTTCTATCTTCCAATTTGCATAGATAATCGACATTTTACTGTAATTCGGTATAATGTGACATGACGCGATAATGATAATGGAACGATGAATTTCGGAATTAACAGAAGTATATATGTATATTTCCGATATTTCCGATGTTTCCGGACTATATATAGATATGTATATGTATATGTTTTTGATATTTTGTGACAATTTATAATATAGAATACATTTCACACATCGTGATTCGGTTACATAACGCAAGCACACACAAATACAATGTTTTGTAATGACAGGTATTAAATAAACAGATGTATAAATACGGAGAATAGCGGATTAAATAGATTAAATATTATATAAATATCGAGACCAGAGATATAAATAATAAGTAGGAATTAAATATGCGGAATAAATAAGTAATTAAATGCATGGTATATATACGACTTACTTAAGCTCTACAGAAATTATTAAGTCACACCGAAAGCAATAAATATTTCCACGCGACAAACTTCGCTCACGCTAGAAAACTCTTTACAATATGGATAAATATAGCTCTTTATTACGGTTAAATATATGATGTCGAGTATATACATGTATTGTTCTTCGATATAACAGATAATAAATAAAAATAGAAATTAATCGTCTGTTTTCTATCATAATTACTTTATAAAAGCTTGTAATTAAATTCTCGTTACACAACTCGAGCTTAATGTACGTGATGTAATAATTATGGCATAAATGAATCTATTGTTAGAATGTACGTAAAAAAGTCAATAAGCTAAAAAATCTGAATAATACTTCTTGACGCGTTACATGATGTAAAATAGACGATTAAATACACTAAGTAGCGAATAATGAATAAACAAATATGCGGAATGATGTGTAATAGATACAAGGAATAAATTAATACATTGTAGATAAT